GGAGGTCTTCGCAGCAAAAGCAGTACGAATATAGACCTCCAAGTTCACCAGGACATCTGTCGTGCTGCGGCACTTGCGGAAACCAAATTGAGAAGGGGAGAGGAGGTGATGGTGTTCCAGGAACCACATCAGACGAACGTTAACCATACGTTCAAAGAGTTTGCAGACACAACTTGTGAGAGCAATAGGGCGAAAGTCCTTAGGGGACTTTCCAGAGACCCCGGTTTGCGAACAGGGAGGACAACGGCATCGAGCCAGTCCTCAGGGACTGACGACGACTCCCAGATCCGATTATACAGACTCAGTAAATACTGAGACGTGCTCGGAGGGAGATGGCGAATCATCTCATAATGAATACCATCGGAGCCCGCCGCCGTAGAACCGCAGAGGGCCAGGGCAGAACGAAGTTCAGAGAGAGAGAAGGGATCATTATAGGGAAGCTGAAGATGAGTGCAAAAATCTAAAGGACGAGACTCAAGGACAGGTATACGAAGAAGGAAAGATTGGGGAAGATGAAGACCAGAGCTAACAGATGAAAAGTGGGAACCCAGTTCGGAAGCGACCTGCAACGGGTCCGCCACAAGAGTATCATGGAGGTGAAGGACCGGTGAAACATCGGGAACGAACTTACCCGCTATCTTGCGGATACGCTTCCAGATCTGGGCCAGAGGGGTTTCGGACGTAATTGTTGAGACATAAGATGCCCAACATTCACGTTTAGCCGTACGGATGGCCCTACGGGCCACCGCACTCGCTTTCCGAAAGAAAAGAAAAGAATCGGTCGTCTGCCTACGGCGGTGCCTCTTCCAGGCTGCACGCTTACAGCGGACAGCCCGAGCACAGTCCGCATTCCACCAGGGAACGCACTTCCGTGGACCCCGAGAGGAAGAGCGAGGAATAGAGCGGAGGGCAGCGTTGAAGACAGTGTCATGAAAAAGGAGGAGAGCGCGAGAGAGAGGCAGAAGGGAGAGGTCAGAGAGAGCAGCACTGAGGGTAAATAGGGTCCAGTCTGCCTTAGCAAACTGCCACCTAGGGAAAGAGAGGGAAGGGCGAAAAGAGAAAAAGGAAACAAGGATGGGGAAATGATCACTTCCATGGAGGTCATCAAGAACCTGCCACGTGAAATCTAAGTAAAGAGAAGAAGAGCAGAGAGAAAGATCAAGACAAGAAAGGGTGCGAGTCCGAGAGTCCAAATGAGTGGGCTCACCAGAATTCAGAAGAGACAGGGAAGAAGAGAGGAGAAACGGCTCAAGGAGGCGACCCCGGGTATTCGTCAGAACGTCACCCCAAAGAGAATGACGACAATTGAAGTCACCCAGCAGGAGCACAGGCTCCGGCAAGGAGTCTAGGAGGTGTTTCAAATCAGGAAGAGAGAGCGGGACACTCGGGGGGAGATAAATGGAACAAACTGTGTACCATTTCCCCACAAAGATACGAGCAGCAGAACAATGGAGAGGCGAAGGAAAAAGTAAAGGAACAAAGGGAACATCAGCCCGAATCAAGAGAGCAGAAGAATTAGAAGCCCCAGCAATGGCTGGGGGGGGGGGGGGAGAGAAAGGAATAGCCACGAAAACGACCAGGACGAGCACCAAGCATTGGCTCCTGGAGACAGACACAAAGGGGCGAAAACCGCGAAATCAGAAGTTGGAGTTCGAGGAAATTGGCGTAATAACCTCGAACGTTCCATTGAAGAATGGACAACGACGAGAAGAGAAAGGACAAAAACAGAGAACAAGGAAGAAACAAAGGCGAAAGAGCAACAGAGCACGTTAAAGAATATCAGGGTCGGGATCAGGGTCAGCAAAGTCAGGGTTAGGGGGCATGGGTAAACTGAGCAAAGACGGAGGGAAGGAAACGGGAGAACAGATCAGAGGTGGGCGGGCAGGGTCCGGAGGAGGAGGAGGAGGAGGAAGAGGAGGAGACAACGGAGAGGAGCAGTCAAGGACAGCAGCAGGAGGAGGGGGAGTAGAAAGAGGGGAGCGCACCCCAGCAAGAGCAGCAACCGAAAGGGAAGCAGGGGCCAAAGAAACCTCCATAGCAGGAACAGGGGGCGCAAGCACTGAAATGGGAGGGGAAGGAGCAACAGAGCCAGAAGGAGGAGCTGAGGAAGAAAGCGAAGCATTCTTACCCGCTGGGGAAGAGGAAGGAGAGGAGCCAGGCTTACGCTTCTGACTTAAAGAGACCGGTGTCCCAGCAACTACGTACTGGGCAACGGATTCCAGTGTCTCAACAGGAGAAGCCGAACGAGAGCACACACGACGGCCGTTAGGAGAGCGATGGACATCCGCCCGCACCGACAGGCGGTGGGGAGAGCCGATAGATGGAGGAAGAGGATGGGAAGGAGGATCGGAGGGGGACGAGGAAGAAGACACAGAAGACACGACAGACTGGGTTGAAGGAAGGAGAACCCCAGACAGAGGACCAGGAGGAGGATCCTTCGGGAGAGAACCCAAAGGAACAGAGGAGGGGGCAGTGGGCGCACCAGGGTCCAAGGCCCGAAAACGGTTGTGAGTCTGAGGAAGGCGGGAAGGACGAGGAGAGGAAGAGCGCAACACGCGAGCATAAGAGATATTAGCATAAGGCGGGAGCCGGCGAACCTGGCGCCTCGCCTCAGGAAAAGATAAACGCTCCCGGTGCTTCAAGTTGAGGACGGCTGCCTCAAGCTTGTAATGGACACACGCACGGGAGAAGGTAGGATGGGCCTCACCGCAGTTGAGGCAACGAGCCTGGGGAGAAGTGCACTCCGACTTAGAGTGACCTTCGCCACCACACAAAGGACAGAGACAGACAGTCCCGGAGCAGCGGAGGGCACCATGCCCAAACCTCCAGCACTTGTTGCAGAGCCGAGGAGAAGGAATGTACTCCTGGACAGAGCACCTGGCACCAGCAAGAATGACAGAGGGTGGAAGGGTCCTACCATCAAAGGTAATCTTCACAACCCGGAGGGGTTGACGGCGACTACCACGAGGGGGACGAGTAAACGTGTCCACCTGGAGAATAGAATGGCCCTGGGCAGCGAGGATATGTCGAATATCGTCGTGGCAGTCGCGCAGGTCCCGAACACCGGTTGCAACATGGGGCGGGAGCAAAATAGTGCCAACACTGGCATTCAACTGAGCGTTCTTCGAGACCCGAACGGGGGTCTCGCCAAGGCAGGATAAGGCAGCCAAGCGGGAAGCAGCATCCTGAGAAGGAGCAGCAACGACACGTGTACCGAGACGAGTGGGGTTGAAAGTAATGGAGGCATCCACGGAATCAATGAGATGTCGATGAAGGGAGAAATCGTCAGGAGGCGCAGAATCAAGAGGGAGGAGATCAAAATATTTGGCCCACGAAGCGGGACCAAACAAGGCTTGATAGGTAGCAGAACTGGAAGGAATCGAGCGAGGGCGGCCGTGACGAGGACGGCGGCGAGAACCCCCAGAGAGAGAGGGGTTAAAAGGCGCAGTAGTTACAACTAGAGAAGGAGCCGCGCCAGGGGACGAGGTAGTCACCACTGGGGGCTTGGGGCTCGACCCAACCACAGAGGAGGGAGGGGAGCCAGGGGAAGGAGTCAGAGAGGCCAAAGGAGGAGCAAGGTCGGGGCCCAATGCAGCGGAGGCTACAGAGCCCGGTCTTCCAATACGGACCGACTCGGGGGCTTGGTCGCCCACCCCACGAGCCTGAGAAGGTAAGCCAGAAGCAGCCGAAACAGGGGTTATCATCTTGACGCAAAGAAGGGGATGTGCCCCCACACCCACCATGGAGCCACAATTAGAGGCAGGACACCCAACAAGAAGCTATCGCCGATCTTGTCGGGGCCTCCTAGGGGTGCGTCGTGAGTATACGCCCCACAAACGCCACCTTAAGAAACCGACAGTCCGTCGAGATCGGGTTCAGTGACGAAAGGGGGATTGACAATAAAAGGTTCCCCTCGCTCTCGACGTGCAGTTCTACGGGTGCATGAGTATGCCTCCTCAAGCACCCGGGCGTCAAAATAGAAGAAGTCCAAGGGAAGAACCAGAACGAGCAAAAGGTCGGCAGGAAACGGCAAGCAGATAGGAGAAGAGGGGGGAGAAAAACGAAACAGAAGGAAAAGGAAAAGGTGCCCAGCAGAATTGGAGAGGACGGCAGCAGGAGCAGTTTTACAGGCTAGTACAGCCACTAGCATGCAGCATTTCGGACAAGTCCTTAATCCCGATATTCCCCGGATCACACCCCGGCAGTCCGCCCAATAGTAAAATGGAGCACCTGGTTAAACAGAGGCTACAGTAAAGTATTTGCACCCAGTAAATCCTCCCTGGCCAGAATACACAGGCCAAAGTGCTCAAGAAACGCCAGGTGAGCATCTTGCCACTACACCATGGGGACTAAATTGGACTACCAACTGGTGTACAGATTCCCAAGTATCATCTACATTTGAAACTGTATGGAGTCTGCCTCCACCACATTGCTGCCTAATGCATTCCATCTTAACTATTCTGTCACTGAAAAAGTTCTAACATTCCTGTGGCTCATTTGGGTATTAGTTTTTCCACCCATGTCCCCTTGTTTGTGTCCCACCCATGCTAAATGTATGGGTGGGATTATTTTTATCTATCATGTCAATTCATCTGAATTTTATAGATAGTGATCATGTCTACCCTAACTGTCTTCCATTGTCATGAGGTTTGGTTCCATCAATATTTCCTCATAGCTTATACCTGTCAGCTCATGGACTAGCCTGGTGGCATACCTCTGAGCCTTTTCTGACTTCGGTTTATGTTTGACTAGATGTTCACTAGACTGCAGCCGCATATTCCAGTATTGGTCCAACATATGAGGTATACAAGGTTTTGAACAATTCCTTATACAAGTTTCTGAAGGTGGAATTTATGTAATATTTAACATCTTATTCTAACATCATTGATCAGTTACATTCTATTGAAGGCTAGAAGTTTAGTTTTGAGAAATGGATCCTTAGTGGCAATTTGTGTAGACAAAGCATCAACAGACCTCCAGGCTAAGGTATTCAAGAAGAGTGAGTTGGTTTCAATTTTAATATTTCACAACTAACATTTAGTGAAGTCATTTTCTGGAAAAAAAATATCAAAGGCTGGCGTCACTTAATATATGAAGTGGTGACAGGCAATGTTGTGTCACTATGCCGTCAATATAGATGTTCTTCAGTACAGAGTCCTCGTTGTCTTCCATGTTGCCTGGATGTGGTCGCCCGAGCCTGGGGATGAGAGGGAAGAGCTATCACAATTATATTCCTTAATGATAAATTTTAAGAAATCTTGTTAAGGTAAGACTGACTTGAGACCTTTACAGCCGTTTAAGCCCTTACGAGTAACCTGCACTTACACCTACAGAACACCCTGTATGTCTTTACAATTTGAGATTTATGACAGGCAAACAAGCCCTACAGCCCCTTCAGTGAGATCTGCTTGATAAGTACCCAGATGACCACCGCCAGGTCGTCATACCTCGCTCTTTGCCGCTTGTCCACATGAACTGGACCCCACCTGACAAATGTTTTAAAAAAAAATTTGCCCTTTAGTAAAAGTTAGTCCAGCATTATGACCATTAAACTTTAGTCATGGATTTAAATAATTTAAGTATTAAACACTAACACGAACACTCTTGGCAATAACGCTCTTTATGAAGTAAAGGGCTTCAAGCTAGTGTTTTAGATAACCTGTAGAAGACTCAAACAGAAGCCGAAACTAGAACAGTTTTGCACGCACACGACGCATTAATGACACCTTTGTAATAAGAGTGACTGCCAAGAACTGTCAGTTTACTTTTTGCACTAAAGTAAAAGCTTATCAACCGTGTACATTTAACAGATTAAGTGATAACATTGTCCTCCCAAGTACCTGGAATAAACAGTCAACGTGCATGTTCATACTGTACATTTCTAAACTACAACTTAAGAGCCGCTAGAGCAATCCACCGTGGTGAAACGTCCGGAGACTAGCATTTGAATTCTACTTAAAATGCATTTGTCAAGTTTCGACTGCCTTGTGTCGACCCCCGAGGCGCCGACAATTACACCTCTACGAACCGGTAGTTAACTCTTAGGTACAATGGTCAGGACATTATTTCGTCAACTTGTTACATTAGAACTATTTGCGTTAAGGGCTAGCCAGTTGCGATGTAAATAGGACAAGCGTCACTGGCCAGTTTAGGGTCTGTTGTAGTGCCAGACGCAGTCTTATGCGCACTTAATCCAGTGTTCGAGTCAAGGCAAATCTGAAATAATGGTACTTCCCCCCCTAAAAAAGGGAGACTGAATAAGGGGCAGGGGAGGGAGGGGGCGGCACAACAAAGGGGGAGGGGGGGGGGATCCTCACCATACAGCTCAACCTCAAGAGACGAGGCTGAACTGTATACCAAAAGTGAGGTAAAACAACACTGAAGTGCTTTTTGTCACATCGTCACTTTTATACCCGGCAACCAACCAAACCCGGCCGCTGATTGGTTGACATTCACCCTGAAACTCGCCCCCATTGGTTAACATTCTGCGAGTCTGAAGTGTCAATTAACAATGGCCAACAACCACACCTTCACTTCCACAAATTGGAACGAGTCTCTAATGAACCAATAATGATCCCCAGCTCGAATGTTTGAAGTTGGTCATTTACAAATATAATTTACAAACCAAATACAACATTCTATTGTAAATGTTGCAACAGAACAACAGGCACAACAGAGCAACATTTGCAATAGAAGCGGCAGTTAATAAGTATTCGTCTGTCAGTCAAGAACAGTCAATGGCCGCTCCACAACTACAATATACGATATATGCAATTACAGATTAACAAACCCAACAACCCAAAGTTCCTGACACAACACAGGATGATGTTAAATATTTGCTCTCAACTGACTTAAGATATTGCTCGTTAATGACAAATTAAGTGATTTTAACTTATTGAAGAGTGAAAATTTATGCTTTATAATAACTATTAACGTCCAGGTGTCTCTGTGCTAAGTCCCACAAGGTCTCTGTGCGCAGTCCCACAAGGTCTTTGTGCTCAATCCTACAAGGTCTCCGTCCTGTCCTCTGTGCTCAGTCCCACAAGGTCTTTGTGCTCAGTCCCACAAGGTCTTTGTGCTCAGTCCCACAAGGTCTTTGTGCTCAATCCTACAAGGTCTCCGTCCTGTCCTCTGTGCTCAGTCCCACAAGGTCTTTGTGCTCAGTCCCACAAGGTCTTTGTGCTCAGTCCTACAAGGTCTCCGTCCTGTCCTCTGTGCTCAGTCCCACAAGGTCGAATTACTGACCATTGCCAGAAATGCACGAACTGTATAATAAATAAATTGCTTTGGTAATTATCAATATTTTTCCACATATTACCCAATACCCATCGGCTGTTTGGGGTGCAGAGTACATGTGGGAGTACAGAGTACATGTGGTGATACAGAGCGGTACAGAGTACATGTAGGGGGAGTACAGAGTACATATGCTGGTAGTATTGAACCCAATACCCATTCTGTGGGTGTAAGGGCGCTCTGGGCTGGGAGTCCCAGGAAGGTGGAGAAATTAAACACGTACTATTGTAGACTTTTATATTAACAAATATATATATAGGATAACATGTGAGCTAGCCCTAGTTTCGGTAGGGGACGGACGTGTTGAATCGGCGCTCCAGCGGTTGGTGTTGTTTACCAATTTGGCCGGTTGAGGGCGGGTGTGTCTCTGCCTGCCTGTGCTGACGTGGAGTTAACGATGGGGGTCCCCCTCCCTCCTGTACTGCGGGCTCAGTCTGTGGGCCTCAAATTTTCCGGCCGGGCTGGGTACCCAGAGATAGCACTGGTGTGTGAGTTGCTTCATATCCCTGTGATCAACATTTATGGTGTCGAGCTGGTGACGACTCGTCGAGCGATATTGAAGTTTACCGAGGAATTGGCATATCGCGACTTTCTCCGTCGTTACGAGGGGCGGACAATGCCCCTGCCGGATGGTGCGGACACTGTGTCACTATCTGATCGGAGTGGTGCCCTCACTTACGTCAGTGTGCATGTGGCTTTTTTGGAGTTTCCAGAGAGTCTGCTACGGCGGTACTTCGGCCGATATGGCGCAGTGGTTAGTGTGCGGGTGAACGTGGTGTCTTCCAGTCCACTTAAGGGTGTGAGGACTAACATTCGCACCCTGGGCATTAGGCTCCGGGAAGATATTCCGTCCTCTGTGCGGCTTATGGGCTACAACGTTTGAGTGTTTTCGCCTGCCAGCCTCGGACGTGTTATCGTTGTGGCCTCTTGGGCCATCAGGCTGCTGACTGTTCTGCGCCTGCCGTTGCACCCATGAACCTCTTCAGTGAGGAGGATTTTCCGCCGCTTCCTGTGGAGGAGGATTCAGTGGATGTGGCCGTCTCTTCAGCCGCGGATGTGCCCCCTGTGTCGCCTGTTGCGCCGCCTGGTGTGCCCCCTGTTGTTGTCGCCTCTCCTCAAGAGGTTGTGGCGTCGCAGGGTGATCGTCCTGCTCCGACTAGTGTCCCTGGGGTTCTTCAGACTGCCTGCTGCTCGATTCCCCCATCTTCCAGTTCGTCCTCTGCTGCGTCTGACCTTGTCCCTGCACCCTTGCCATCTGTTCCGGCTGTGCTGGGTGATGGGGTGGATCCGCGCTTCCTCCTGTGCCTGGCCTGGTGCCCCATGTGGTTGAGGATGCTGCCGTTCTGCGACGTGCGTCGGTTCGCCCGGCTTGTGTTGCGCGTGTCTCTGAGTCGGCCTCCGGGTCTTATGATGTGCGGCCAGAGCCTAAGCGTTCCCGGCGTTCGTCGTCAGCATGGGCTGACGTTGGCGATTTCGACGCTTGTGGATCTGCCGGCGACGGAGGGGTGGCTCCGGTTGCGTTGCAGACTACGGTGACGGCGGAGGTGCATTTGCCTGAGGATGCCAGTGCCGGTGTTTTGGCATCCACTTCAGATATGGTGTCTGCGGTTCCTGCTTCGGGTGCGTCGCCTTATGGCTCCGGTTCTTCGTGGGGGGTGGTTTCCCCTGCTGAGGTTCGTGGTGAGCGGGGTGGCCTGGTGATGGTGTTGAAAAAGACTGCTCACTCTGGTGGTTCTGTAACCCCTTCCTTGGTCCCCGTTTCATCGACTGCGGTCTCGACGCCTCTTCCATCTCCGGCCATCTCTTCAGTGTCTCCTGCGGTCTCGGTGGAGACGTTACCATCTCGTTGCTTGTCCCCTGCTCCTGTGCGTACGGCGACGCGGCCGTCTCGGCAGCCCTCGTACGCTTCATCGGTGTCGTCTGCTACCTCGAAGGACGTGGCTTGCGCTCCCCAGCCTCGTTATGCGACTTGCGTCGGTGAGCTTCAGGAGTGGCCGTTTCCACCTGATCTGGAGGTTCCTGAGTTTATGCTGGGCCCACGGCGGCAGGGGGATCGTCCCCCCACCGACATGGAGCATTTGATTTGGGAGGCCTATAAGCGACGGTATCCTTGGGATTCGTTCCCTGATAAATATATTCCTGTCTCTGAGAAATGTATTCCTCACTCATGATTTCTTTGTGTAGTGTGGGTTGTTTCCATTTGTGTGCATGGTTGTGGGGTGCAGGTCGGGTGTGTGTGTGTGTGGGTGGGGCGGGTTTGTTTCCCGGTTCCTGCGTGCTCCGGTTTGTGGTTGTGGGTTTGTGTGGCTTGTGTGTGTGTGTCCAGTTCCTGTGTGGTCCGGGGTTTGGTTGGTGTGTGTCTGGTTGTGGATGTCGTGTGCTTATGTTATGCTTGGTGGTTCTATGTTTTTATGTTGCTGCTTGTGCGCTTGTTTGTGTCGTGTTGAGTGCCCTTCAGGCTGTTGGCTTGACCCGGTCTGGGTTTATGCTTTTTGTCGTGTTTTGCCATTGTGCTTTTCTTTCTGTTGTATATTTGTTTTCCTTTCTAGTTGTTATTTTTATTATTATTATTATTATTATTATTATTATTATTATTATTATTATTATTATTATTATAATTATTATAATTATTTTTGTTTTGTGTTGGTGTCTCTCCGTGTGTGTTTGAGGTGCTGGTAGCCTTGTTTTGAATATTTCATATTTTGGTGTGTTATTTCTGCATTGTATTCCACTGTGTTTTAACTTGCTTGTTGTGATTTGTGTGTAATTATTGTTGTTTTGTGGTCGGCCCTTCCGGTCGGCGTTTTTGTGTTTAGTACATTTGTTCCTTTATGTTTTTGCACGTTTGTGCTTTGTTATTTTGGTCTGTTCTATGTTATTGTTTACTTTTATTGTACTTATAAGCATGCTTGCATTAAAAATAAATAAAAAAAACAACAAAAAAACTGTATAATAAATAAATTGCTTTGGTAATTATCAATATTTTTCCACATATTACCCAATACCCATCGGCTGTTTGGGGTGCAGAGTACATGTGGGAGTACAGAGTACATGAGGGAGTACAGAGTACATGTGGTGATACAGAGCGGTACAGAGTACATGTACGGGGAGTACAGAGTACATATGCTGGTAGTATTGAACCCAATACCCATTCTGTGGGTGTAAGGGCGCTCTGGGCTGGGAGTCCCAGGAAGGTAGAGAAATTAAACACGTACTATTGTAGACTTTTATATTAACAATTATATATATAGGATAACATGTGCGACACACTCCCAGGCACCTGTACCATTGTTGATGTTTAACCGCTGCATCATATCACTCATTGTTTAGTCACGGCAGTGTTGTCATTGTATTGTGTAGTTGTCAGCAGTGTTGTCATTGTATTGTTCAGTTGTCAGAGCAGTGTTGTCATTGTATTGTGTAGTTGTCACAGCAGTGTTGTCATTGTATTGTTCAGTTGTCAGAGCAGTGTTGTCATTGTACTGTTCAGCTGTCAGTGTATTGTTCAACTGTCATTGTACTGTTCAACTGTCATTGTACTGTTCAGCTGTCATTGTACTGTTCAACTGTCATTGTACTGTTCAACTGTCATTGTACTGTTCAACTGTCATTGTACTGTTCAGCTGTCATTGTACTGTTCAGCTGTCATTGTACTGTATAGCTGTCACAGCAGCGCTGTCATTGTCTCCACAACACTGTCACCGAACATTTGTCTCCATAGGGCTATCATTGCACAATTGTCAGAGTAGTACTGTCATTATATCACAAGAGGCCTGGTCGAGGACCGGGCCGCGGGGACGCTAAGCCCCGAAATCATCGCAAGGTAACCGCAAGGTAGGGCTATCATTGTACATTGATCACAGCAACACTGTCATTGTACAGTTGGCATTGTAGTTTGATCAGCTGATGGTTGTTATGTTGAAGTCGTTCCTGTACAGCTGATGCGAGTGTCAGCTGTAGGCGTCACAGTGTAGTAGTCACTGATGATGCCACTGCCACACCTGCTCCCACACCTGCTGCTACTCATAGCCATTGGGGTTCTGACTCTGCCACCTCCAAGCATCCACACCTGGTGGAAGAAAAATTG